TACCTGCACTTAATAGAGGAAAGTACATTAAATTCACCAGTTGATGGCATGTCTTGTAGGAAAAGCACATCTTATCATATGGTATTTTTAGAACTTTGAGATAAGTGTTTGAAAATCATTAAAATGTCACTGTGGAACCGGAGCAGTATTGTATCATACCACGAGAAAACTGTAAGTGAGCATGTAGCCTGACTTGACCCAAGATTGCATCTCATACAAATGTATCACTGAAGTTCACTGAGTTATAGAAAGAAGATTTGTGTTAATTTCCTACCCAGGCTCAGATGATGGACTTTATAAGAGGTATATGTGCACTTCTATTTTTAAAAACTACTTGAATCATTAATATCTATGTTGTTTGGGGGTTTATGTGAAATGAGGTAAAGCATATTTTATTGAAAAGGCTAACAAGGTATGGGATACAATAAACAGCATTGATGGGAGATTAGCATAAAACGCAATGTTCTGTTTGTGCACTCTGTAGCTCTCAGCCAGTGATCTGGGTTGTGTGTCGGGGTGAGGGGGCCAGGGGGGAAGAAGCAGAAGAGAGGGCAGGAAAGGGAGGGAGGGAGGGTGTAAGGGACGTCAGCAGAAATCTGGTGTTTTTTACTACCCAATACCCTCCTTTTTTTTTTTTTTTGACACATTTTACTTCCATTCTAAAAATAGTGTGTAAACCACTAACTCCTATCCATGTCTAATATTACTGAGTGCATTACGGATCTTTCACTCTCAGTAATACTTTAATACAATTTAAAAGTGAATTAATAGTGGATTAAGTAGTTCAACAAATACTTAGTGAGTACCCACTCTTGTCTTCAGATTTCAACTATTGTTTGGGGATGTCAAAATGGAGACCGGATGCTTTGGATCATCTATACTTTAGCTCAAATCCTGGTTCTACCACATGTTTGGTATAGACTAGGGGCTTATCCTGTCACAGACTGTACTCTCTTCTATAAAATGGGGTAATCATACATGTCTACATTTGATTCAGATTGTCCAATGACAAAAATTATTACAATTTAGTAATGAGTTTGATGCCCTTTATTCAAAGGGGAGCACTCCATGGATTGAGAGTATACAGTGCTTCGCAAGCAGTGGAGTGCTATTCCCGAGGGATTTTGAGCAAGTTTTATAGAGAGTTAGAAGAGGCAACATGGAAACAGGGCATGATGGCCTAGGAGGTAGGGGATTTCCTTATGAGGCTAGCAAGGTCCTACTTTTTAGAGTAAGGTTAGCTAGCTAAAGCTGATTTGGAGGATTGTGCATAGTGTTTGTTAGGGTTCCTTGACAGGTATTTCCCGTAAGTGCAGGCTGATGTAGGTTTACATGTCAGGCCACTGGGTCCCGTGTTGTGAGTCCCAATACACAAATCAATTTTATCAAGGTTTATAAGAAATAATACATAGAAATTGCACAGGACAGAGCATCTGGAATGAACTCAACAAAAGATGTGGCCATTGCCACATTCTCTCTGTTTTATTTTAATAGCTAGCTGTTATTGAGTCTCTACATCATACTAACAGAAACTGCCTGTATTTCCTATAACCATATGAATTAGGTATTATTCTTATTCCCAGTTACCAGTGTATTTAAGTAACTTGATAAATTGACATAGT